GTCTAACTTATGTTAAAGCTAAGACAAATATCTATACTCTCACTATTAGTGTGTAGCATTTTGTTTTTTTTTTTATTCACAACAAGCTGTTAAAGTCATCATACATATATTTTTTTTCATTTCAATTACTATACTTAATTGATTTTTTAAAAAAACAATTTCGTTTGCTTAAAAAGAAAGTCATTACAATATTTATGCGATATATTATCTAGTTGTAAATGTAATAAATCATTTAAAATAAAATCTATAACCTATACGAGATTTAAGTTCAAATCTTGATATCGAACTTAACCAACGCAGAAATTAATGTTGCCTGTTAAAATTCGGTTTAATGAAAATCTATAGCTTTCCGTTGGGTTATTGTATAGATAGTGGTTTTACACAAACTTTTTGGGGAACGGCGATGGAGTATAATAATTGAATTAAATGAGTACTACATGAGTCACCCTTTCGAATGGAATAGATAGGAAACGCCTACCGAACATCTCGCTAATCTAATATAAATGCGTTTTATCCTATAAAATATATTTTTACCCGAGTAAATTTATTAGTATACCGTTTGCATACTTTTGGCAAACGTCCGAGAAACCGATTTAAAAGGATTATAGGTATATTTAAGCATGTAAAAAAAAAAAAAGGTAAATATTTCATTTTTTCACATCCAGGAAATCTTTGTAAAAATTATAGTATCATAATTTTTTTTATGATTGAAAATAAAAACAATCATAGCTTAAAACAAGTACAGTGTAAATGTATTTGTACACCGGAGGTAGTCGAAACTGTTTTAGGGAAGTTTTCCAACAGAAATGGAAAACGGATCGACCCAGATGTCCATAACGGAAATGAGAAAGGCCGAGATTAATGTTTGCAGTGACAAAATAAAATATAAGACGAGGTCGAAAAGAGGAAATTTAAGACGGGTTTTGAGTTAATGGAAGCAAACAAACGATATATATATATATGTATAGATCAATGCGCAGTTGGTTACTATATTATACACTTACTATAATATATATATACTTGTGCCGAGTACCTACAGGATAAATGACTGGATATTAACAATGAGCTTTTTATCTATAATTGGCAATAGAGCAATCTAATAAATACCTTTTATAAATGTACAATGAAATAACACCAAATGCTAGTCTATTCAGGAACGTTTTACTCGAGCAAATCCGTTCCGAAATAGAAATCTTCTTTTCTGAAATCAGTTTGATTGACCGAAAATGTTCAGGTCTAAAACAAAAGTATGCTCTTTCGAGTGGAAAAGCATGTAAAAATGTGTGCACTGAAGAATTGCAAATAACTACACACAGATAACGGCAACGTTTTGCGAAGCGCTAGCAAACGGTTTATTATTTTTTTTTTTGTGCATTTTTTACACATTATTATAACGAAAAAAAACCCCTTCCGGAAACCCGTGTCTTTGCCGGTGTCGACATTAATAATTTTAGGGCCGGCTCTGTACACGATTGTAGTGGTTATAATAATAATAAAATAAAATACCGCAGAAAAAAAACGAAATAAAAGGAATCACGTCGGCTAGGTATATATATACTTGTTTGTGTTTTCATGATTCATTAAGTCCATCCGTTACCGGCTGCCATGATTTTTTTTTTCCTCCCCGTTGTTTGTTATTATATCAACACGGACGAGGCGCACAAAATAAATACACACAGCCACCCCCACAACAAGTATAATAATATGATCGTTCCATACGACGACGATGATGATGATGATGATGATGATGATGGTAATTCTGTTGTTGGCAGAGATAGCGAAAAGGAGAGGGCACGAGCAGGGCCCCGAGTAGGTAGTGTATACGGTGAGATCAGGGACCCCGGGATAGAGAGAGGGATGGGAAGAGGGATAGAGAGGGATGGACAGTCAGGAGAGGCTGACGATAAATTTCGGAACAGTCATAGCGCGAAATCGCTGGCAAACACAGGCGATCCGCCGCGCTCAATTAATTAATCATAAACCGAGAGTTTTATATACACATATTAAAATAATTAAACGCAAACAATGAATCATTTATGGTCCAAGGGGTGCGTGCTATCGAGAACAGCCACCGCCACCACCGCCGACAGCATCCCTCTCAAGAAAGGTTGCCACCGACACGCGTATAGCTGGTATAGTACGTACCTATCTATATAGAGCTGTTATTACTTGGCACTTTTCACTTTTGACGACCCGGTACGGACAGTAATAACGGGGCACCTACCCGGATGATTGTTAAAAAACAAAAACAAAAAACGATTGGGGGAGAGAAAGGTAACCAATTTTAGCCATTAAAAATAAACGGCGTTGTTAAGGTAAACGACCTTTGTACGTTTAATACGCTAATGGACAACGATTTCGAACGATATGAATATAATATAATAATATTCAATACATAAAATGACATGTGCGCTAACAAAGGATATAATATATATATATATATTTATAATATTATCCCGTTTTACAAGTATATCGAACACACAAGAACCAACGTCAAAGCAATACGCGGCAGTGGAAAATGGATTTCTCAAACGAAAGTCGATTCATAATACACCCATAGAGAAAAGTTTTGGAAAAATTACAAAGAAAAGATTCACCTTTATTCTATTAGCTAACATGACAAGTCCAAACATGCTCTTTGTATAGTCACTTTCAAACCGTTGAGAACATCTCAAAAAACGCTACATATGGCCCAATTATTGTTGTAGAAACAAAATATAGTGGCATCACTTTAACGCCAGTAATTTATTGACTCCGAATTTGTGCTTTTCACTTGTCTTTCTTGAAATGTACTAAAAAAACTCTTTCCAAGCCGAGGTCGGGGCATGTTGACTTGTTTTGATTCGAATCATTTTTGGAAAATTATTTAAAATACACCATTCATTATTGAGCAATTAATTAAAAAAAAGTATGAAAATTTAATTGAAAAAAAATGAGTTTTTATGATACACAAGTGTAAAGCTCTCCGTTGAATGAACTATATTAGATAAAGTGCTGAAACTCTTCACTGCACATGCCAAAGTGATTCTAATAAGAACTTAAATAACAAAATCCGTTCATTGGTTTCAAAGACCAGCGTGGCTGAAGAAAAATTTAGCTATAATTAACAATGTTTGACAAGCTCTTTCTACTGAGCTTGGAATCCACTTTCTATCTCCTATAGTTTAAACGTTTTATAAGATATGTAACACAGAGACTGATACCGTGTAGGGGGGTGTGAAATCCGATCTACCCGCGTACTATGTCTAACTTATAATAAAGCTAAGAAAAATAGAGCTATCTTCTCACCGTGCTAGCGTGTACGATTTCATTTTGTTTCCCCGTTCAAGTTATCATCGAATTTTTTTTCACTTATACCAACTTGTTTTAAAAGGAATAAAAACTAATCGAAAACCACTATTATAACTTGACGCGGCGGCAAAAGATGATGACACGGTATTTTTATTGATTTTTTTTTCTTTTTCCGTTCACTTTCGAGTCATATAAAAAGCACCGAACAGACGAAAGGCCGGGGGGGGGGGGTGCGGTAGTATCCGTAAAGCAGCGTCAAACGGCAACGTAAAAGGGGTTGGAAAAGTTTTGTCGTCCGGCAGGCAGTGTGTGTGTGTGTGTGTGTGTGTATGGGCGACGCTGGCTTTGGCCAAGGGAAGTGTATAGCACAACAAACAGGGGCAAAGCGACCGGTCGGTGCGGAGAGGAAATGAAAATCGCATCCTAGGCCATAAATTATACCGGGGTTTTCCCCGGCAATTTCGGCCCGGGACACGAGAGAGAGCACACACGCACACACCGGGTCGCATTAAATTTCAGTTAAAACTTCCATAACCGTCCATACAAGCGTCAGAAATGTGTACTGCTCGCTCTTCTGTCCGTGATTACATCTACAATAGCAAATATAATAACAATATGTATTAACAATACAGTAGATACCTATATCGATCTCGGCAGTCCAACGGTGCCCGCAAAGTTACCCCCGAAGCCCCCTCCCCCTTGCGGTTAACTTTTAACTGGATTTGCAGAAATACACCGGCTGTAATTCGCCACAACCCGGCCGATTGACTCACCAATGTAAAACTTTAACGGCTTTAAGGGAAAAATATCAACCAAAAGTAAACGGATTTACATCTCAACCCTGCAACACAGCATGCGGATGGGGTGGGTTTCGCACAAAAGGCTTTTGGGGGCCGTACACGACTTTGACGATATCCGTTTGTACAACGCATCATATTATGAAACGTCACTGGCTATATATGGGTCGTCTTACACACAGATAAATCATATTTCACGCTTTCTTCTGTCCTATTTATTCGCGGTGACCCGGTCGACCGTAACGCCACGATGCACACACACACAGTGAGCAATAGCCACACATGATAGACACATGCACTTTTAATGTTGGGAAAATCAATAACACAGTCTTGAGGCGGTGGAATTGAATATTGCAGTGAAAAGCGAGATGGCCTTTTTCGGCGTTTCCTATAGAGTATAGGTTTTCTCGTGCAACCGGACGAATACAAAAATAATAATTATTATATTGAAAAGTTTCGATTTCAATGGAACGCGAGTAATTTATCATTTTTATAAATCACAACGATGCGAGCGGGTTGACACGAATTCCGGGTGTTTCTTTGGCTTGTGTCGACAGTATTTTAGAAATAAGGACATAAGTTGAATTTAAAATCATGACGTCCCTTGTATAGTTTATTATTCATGACGTCATTCTCTTTTCCCTTCCCAATGGAAGCTGAGCTTTATGTTTTTCCAATTCCCTAAGCCGAGTTTGTTAATTTGAAAATTGTTGCGAATAACTTGTTTATAAATGTAGTGTTTTTTTGTGAAAATTATTATTATTGTATTATTGACTGCAGTACTATGTGCCCATTCGGGCGAATTTAATTTTCTAAATAAATACATTAATAAACGAATAATTAAATGTCACACACGTATACGAACCAGAATAGATTATATTTGTTTATAATATTATACCAAAACTGATTTGTGTTTTAATTGAACTATTCCCTTCGAATGACACGTCTCGCTGTTTTGCCGGATAACGTTAAATTTGATTTTGTTGTTGTAACTGGTCCACTTTCAAAGTCTTCTTGCAAGAATTCGGTAACTGAAACATTCGATAAAAACGCATGTTAATTATTAATGTTAATGTTCATTTGTAAAAGTTCATTAGGCCACATTAAAATATACACCTAATTTGCAAATGAAAACATAATATATTTTTTGTAACATATCCTTAATTGCAACAAACATTACAACAACTCACAGCAAATCATTTTTTTTAAAGCAACTTCGGCAATCAGTTAATAATATTTTTTAATTTGTATGAAAGCCCTAAACGTACGCTTTTTTTTTATATGAACGAAAAATACACTAACATGTACAAACATTATTTCATATTAATTGTAAACAACTCTTGCCATTTAAATAATTTATAGTACTTACGTGCTTTTGCTAAATGTGTAAATATAAAATAAAAATAAAAATATCTCCGCGTTATAAATTTTATTATATTTTCAATTACTGAAATGGCCAATATTGTAGTAGAGCTGGTTTCATTAATAGATTGCATTTTTTTTAAACTCATAGTCTCTTAAAGTCTTTAGAAAAAAAAAATCCGTTATTTTCAAATTTTATACAAAAAATTATAATTTATTTATTTCTCTTCGACGAAATGATCCATTTATTTTACAATAATAAATTCAGACTTGTCAGAAAGGTAAGTATATATATACAGTTATTTCGGTGATGTGAATAAAATGACAGTTGTGTTAATGGCATTGTTGTGTTTCACAATAAGTGGCTGTTAATAATGTGATTATCCGCAAAAGCTCTGCGATTTTGTTTTATATATATATATAAATATATTATGTATATTTTGCATAGCGAATAACACTTAAACAAAAACCGTTTCATCACTTATGATATTGGAATTAACCACCAGTCGAAAATACCTTTGGAAATATTCAACAAAAGCAGTACCAATGCCTAATGACAGTTAAATTGCAATTGGCGAGAAACGAATCCGAGCGACGCGTTTCGGTTTAGACGGTATTTAAATTGTATAATATTCAACATTTATTTCAAAGTCCATTAATTTGTATTATGTAGATTTTTTTACTTAAGTATACTGCGTTGGTATATTGTTATAGTTCTTAAGTAAAGACAAAAAACAAAAATTTAAAAATAGAGGATACCGTTATGAGATAAAACATAATTCAATTGTTTAAATATAAATACTACATTAATTGTTTAAAAATAATATTTTTCTTTGTAATAATACATATATTGTTATATACAATAGAATATTTTTGAAAAATAATGTACATACACATTACTAATAATAATAATAGTTTTCGATTATCTTTTTTATTTTTAACTAAATTTCCAAGTTACAAAATTCTCAAGTTTCAGAAAAATTAAAAGTTTTTTTAAAGTTAAAACTACTTATGGCTTTAGTTTCTTTTTTTTATTAATGCAAATCTCACAATGGAATTATGACTTATAAGTACCGAAATTCCTCTCTGATTTCACATGTGTATTATTATCAATATTTTCTCCTCCGTCCCTTCTGGCTATATTTTAGTTTAGAAAAAACAACCTTTAAGACTTTTCAGTGGTATAACACCTATTTACCATAGTGTACTGCTGTAAATAGTATAATTCACACAAAAGGTATATAACGTTTTTTGAGTTTATATATAATAATTTCCAGGGCGAAGACATTGCTTAAGTACATTTTTTATCCAGACAATCTTATCCCCCAAAACCTCTATAATTTACGATCCATTAGAACGCTTTGCACAATCGTATAACGTGCCCAACACATATTCGTCAATATCTAATAACTATAAGGCAGTCGTAAGCAACCCCTTCTTATATAATATAATATAATATTCACCCTTTTTGCTATTACGGTCACGCTATCAGATTAATTATTTATAAACACTAGCTCATATACTCGAGGAACCGCAGGAAGTGGGTATCTATTAAGAAACGTAATTACTTTAATTTTCCAACAATTACCTGAATAATTTAGTACTGAATGCATGAGGAAGAACGTAGGATATTTTGAATATTACTTATGACTAATAAAAACAACTTGTAAATTACTTACAAGATGTAGTCGTTGCAACAAAACAACTGCTTTAGTTTACAAATAAAAATTACATTACAATTTTAATGATTGTTATAATTAAACTGACTCCTAAGACCTAAATGATCCCAAAAAATGAAAAAACTAAAATTTTTTATCTATGAAATGTTTAAAATTTCAAAAAATGCGCTAAGCGTGTTTAAAAAATATATATTTTAGACTCGAACGTGTATTATTATTTTACACAGCTATTAATACTTCAATTTAAATTAAACAAAACAATCGTTAATTTTATTTTATGATGTACAACAAACACTGAGATGAATACACATTTTTACTGTTGATAATAACAATATAGAAGTTTTAACACTGTACTCTGTTTTTATTGCCAATATTAATTTAATCACCCCAAGTTTACAATTCATTGGTTTTCGTTACATTTTCATAATAATTGTTCTGGCAGTGATACGCAGTTACCATTAAAGCAATTATAGTAACTATCGTTCAATGGATATTAAATGGGTGGTAACGATAACCAGTATAAAAACAAAAACAAAAACAGTAAAAATATTTAAAAAATGAAAGTAGATTAACGTACAAAAATAGCAATTAACATTAATAGATAATATCATACCCAGGGAAAATGGTTGCAATTATGTAATACTATGAAAATTGCAATCATTTTTACACTATAAACATTAACAATATAGTATATATAATATAACTATATTTATGTACATGCGAGTTCCTGTTTGTATATTTGATTAAGTTGATATAACGGTCGAAAAATAACAGAATATCTTTTACATCTTCTCTTAAGTTTTTATTTTTTATGAATAATTATTCCATAGCTGTTCAAAGTAGAATAGCCATACCGAGTGTGTATAACGTTAAAAGCTATGGCGCCACAAATGGATTATTTCTTTATACCAAAAAAAAAAACAGACAACGCGGACCATGTTGTTTATTGCCCTTTTTTTTTTTATTCTAAAATGCTTGTTCATTACAATCTACCGTTTCCGTATAAGCCAACCGAATCTAAAAATATATTATTTAGTGTTAGGTTCGACTCGTGGAACACAGTGTGGGTTTTTTTTTAACATTTTTTACAATACGGCTATTTTTGCCAATTTTTTGTTGGCATCTTTTCTCTAGCCAACTGCGTTACATAATTACTATGTATATCGCTTTAGAAATTTCCAAGTGAAAATTCAGTATTCAATCTAACTCTCTGAACTCTGGAATGCCAATTTTTTTTGTGCGCCCACTTATCACTGTTAAATCCTTCGGTAAGTGTCCCCACACCGGACGATCGGTCCTTTTGGTAATTGTGATTTTATATCGACAGCGGGGGCAGGGACAGAGGAAGCGTTTACCGGAAGTTTGCGACACACTCCGAGTCGCACAGCACCACCACCTGCCGCCCGTAGTTCATTAAGACGGCCAAGTCAAAGTCGAAGAATCATCCCTCTCACAAAATACTACCTACCATACACAATTACTGTGTATTTTTTTTTTTTTTTTTTTGTCACCGTTTCTGATAAATTCTTCTTGAAAACCTCTCCGGGGACTCGATCCGATGTGACAATCGACGCATGTGTGTGTGTGTGCACCGACGGAGGGATGAAAGTTTGGCGGCCGTCTAAGTCATAAACAACCCCTACGCACTATTTGCTCCCCTCCAAAAACGTCGACTTATATTACTGTATACGATATAGGAAAACGTCCAGTGCACGTTCTCTGTTCTTCGTGGCAACTATTTGTCGGAAGCGATTCACTCGATAATTGCTTTCCTTGTTACTATCATTATTATTATTATTATTACTGTAATTTTTTCTATTCTCGTCCGAGCTCGGTTTGACATAACCCAGCCAGTGTATATGTGTACTGTTCGGTCACTTAGATACTTTAGATGGCGACGTCTGGTCGTGCACAGCTATTGTGCAACACAACCCGAAAACAGTTTCCCAAGACCGTTTTGCGCTGTACTTACATATTATACTATACTAGGTTCGGTGGTCAATCTTTTATGACATAGATTTAAAAACCATTTCAGATCTTTCGAATCGTCTCGCATACATGGGGCAACGGGGTTTTGTTTGGTTTGAATATATATATATATATATACTTGTCTTTGTCTTCAGATTTCATACGTGACGGCATTAGAAAATAAATAGACTTGTAAAAGTGAATTATCTCCTAAATGTGACTGCATTAAGCAAAAATGTGTATAAAAATTTTAAAAATTTGGAGCATTGAGTATGATTGAGCATTGATTTGGAGTTACACCACTTTTACAATAAACGACCGATGTAATATTATTACAATTTATTATTACCAAATGCTCGAAATGCCGAGTTAAAAAAAAAATGTTCAGAGATAAAATCCATCAAAAAACAGATAACAATTTTTTAAAAACTGTCTTCCCAGTGTTGTCTATTTTATCATTTGGTCGAGTAAGCTCGATTATTGGTTTATTAATTGTATTCTAAGACTTAAGTGGTTGATCTTAAGTCACCAAATAAAAAAAAAAACTTTGTTCTTGTCTATATTTTTATGATATATATGTATAAGTGATTTATTATATTTTCTTTATTACAAAACTCATACTTATTTTTTTTAATTATAGGAGAGAGTAGTAAAAAGTAAAAATTGAATATATTATTATGTATTAGTAACATATTAGCAATCATTTAATTTTCTTCAATAAGAAAATATCATGTCCATAACAGTAATTTTACTAACATTTTAAAAATTGTTTTTTATTACTTAACTATTTTAGTCTGGAGTGTTGGACCTACAATACCAAAATTTACCCGTATATTAGTTGAATACACATTATGACAAATACAATACTACTCCTTGATTACTTACTCGCCTACTTACTATGTTGTACTATTGTTACTGTACCTTGTAAATGTTTTGAAGAGTCCAAATGATTTTTTTCAAAACTTAAATCGGATTTAAAAAAAAAAAATCTATTCGAATTAGAAACATATATTTTTATATAA